AACTACAAGCCTTTTCATCTCCTCTCCGGCTGCAGAACGGGGGGCGGGGGCGGGCGTGGGGGGAGAAGGGGAAGGGGAGAAGGAGAAGAAGAAGAAGAAGAGGAGGGAAGAGCCCTGGCCCGGGCGGCCGGGGCCATCCCGCCTTATCCATCACCATCATCATTAATGCGATCGCCGATCGATCCGGCGGCGCGGAGAAATATGAAGTGATGAGCCCAGGCGGGGGCGGCCCGGTGCACACCGGCGCCTGGGCACGGGCACGAGTTGAAATCCCCCCGTCACCCTCTTTTGGGGGTGCCCCCCAGCAGCCGCGGGGACGAGGCGCTCCGCCGCAGCCGCCCGGGGTGTCCTAATTCAGTTATGTCCCCGGGGCCCCGGCAAGACGCGGCCGGCCCCGGGGGTGGTGTCCGGGCCGCGGGGCAGGAGGGCAGCCAGCTCGCCGGCCGGGGCGGGCTCCTCCGCCTCTCCCCGGTGCAGCCCCTTCGGGGGCTGGAAGTTGCGCGGCACAAGCCGGAGCCGGAGCCGGAGCCCGCACCGGCCTCGCAGGGGAGGCCTGGCCGCGGATCGGGTCCGCTTCCCGGGGACTTCGCTTCTTGCCCTGCACCTGCCCGGGCAGCCGGGGGGGGAGAAGGGGAGAGCCGGGCGGACGATAAAGGGAAGCCCCTCGACCTCTCCGGGAGGGTCGGGAAGCGGAGGGAGAAGGCGAAGCCGCGTGGGAGGAAGAGGAGACTTTCCCTCTGCAAAGACTCACGCGGATTTTCCAGCCGGGAGCCACCGGCCCAAGGCAGCCGCGCACAGGCTGGCGGGTGGAGGCAGAGCTGCCCGCACCCCGGCCCGGCCCGGCGAGGGCCCCCACTTGAACGCCGGAGCCCGGCCCGGCCCGGCGGCGCCGCCTCATCGCCGCTCCCGGCCGGCGAGCACGGAGAAAATGATGGGGCTGGTATTTAATTCCGAGGTCAGGGGCCAAGGGCTTCACTTTTCACCATAATTTAATTTCTTTCTCTATAAATACTAAATGTAAACTGTGTCCACTGGACCACATTTTGCCTGTAGCAATAAACGCCTCATTTTCTGTCGGGCTGCAGGAGAGGAATGCGAGGGGAGCGTGTTTCTGAATACTGAATGGTAATCAATGCCGCCCGGCCAGGAGAGGGGGGACTTCTCTCCTCTCTTTATTATAATGAATTAATTCGACTTTATTTATCCCATTTTCTGGAGCTGACAGAATGTTAATTTGAGTTGAAATTTCTCTCGCCTCTCACTCCCTGACCCCTGCCCTCCAGATTGGCGTGTTGTAATAACCTGAATCTTTCAACAGAAGCCCTGATAATTGTTACCTTATTAGCATGCAAATTGTTTAATTAATATTATTATGGAGAAGCATACAATCCGTCCGTCACTTGACCTCAAGTGCAAGTCCACGTCGCAGCCGGCTCTGTGCATTTCAATGCGCACATTTCAGATCGCCTCGTGTTTTAATGTTTCTAGGATCCTTGTCGGCCTTCTCAAATCTCTCTGAAAGTCTGGGAGAGGAGGCTTTCATGAGGGTGGGAGGGAGCCTTTTGATGCCGCCTGGCCTTGATATCTCTTTATATTGCTCTCCATCTAAAAACACAGGCGTGCGCGGGCGCGCACACAAATGACTCGAGTCGTTTTATTCTTCCCCTCTCTTTTTGTATTTTGAACATCAAAATTTAATAATTGCTTCCTTGTCAATCGCTCCGTCTTTAAAGGCACTCCCTTCAATTCCGAGAGCGGCTCCTGCAGCCAAACACACTCGCGGCAGCTCAATGAAAAGCAGCCCTTGACACGCAGTCCTGAGAGACGTTGCATTTAAATCCCTTTTTCTACAGCCGAGTGACATTGTCAGATGCTCGCTTTAATTAACTTGATAATAAGACGTACAAGACTCGCATTCAGGACGCCGCCTCGCCTCGCCTTGTTTCCTCTTTTATCGCAATCGGGGTGTTTTATCTCCCAGCTTCCCGCTGGCTGGCGCAGCCCGGCCTGCGGGCTGGAGCCCCGGGCGGAGGGGCGGCAACCGGGCGTCGGTGCCCCGACGGGCCCGG